CATACAGTGGATAGGCAACTTAAGCTAAATAGACTAAAGCAGTATATAAACATGATGATTTTTTTTTTGTCGGTCGTGGGGCTTGAACTCTGGGCTTGGGCGCTGTTCTTGTGCTCTTCAACTCAAGGCGAGTGCTCTACTGCTTGAGCCACAGCGCCACTTCCAGTTTTCTAGTGGTTTATTGGAGATAAGAGTCTCATAGACTTTCGTGCCTGGGCTGGCTTTGAACTTCGATCCTCAGAATCTCAGCTCCTGAGTAGCTAGGATTACAGGCATGAGCCACCGGTGCCCTGCCCATGATGATTTTTTAAAAAATATTTTATTGTAAAGATGATGTACAAAGGGGTTACAGTTACATGAGTAAGGTAATATTTCTTGCCGAGCTGGTGATTGACAAGGACAAGAGTAGATTATCTGAGCTGTACAGTCAAGGGATATGCCATTGTGCAATTTTATGAGCAGGGGGTGGTAAGGTAGGATTAGGAGGAGAAAGGTGAATAGCATAAAGCAAATAAACACATCTGCTTCTTTATCCCAGACTTGATGCTTGTGGGGTATTTCTGAAACTTAGATTTCAGGGGCAGGTAAGAGTTATACGGGTGGAAGATGAGGTCCCCAGAAGTAGAACCCTGGGCATTGCAAATTGATGGGCTGGAATGCATTTTTCCAGGAAGTAAGCAGTGCATAGCACTCAGAATAAAGGTTTGTCATCATCTTCAGTCTTCTATTTGCACTATCATCTAAAGATAATACTTAATTTGTCAAATACAAATAAATAAAATGCCTCAAATAGGGCATTTTCCAGTTCACAAATGTTTATTAAATGACCATCGTTTCTACATAAATTGTCAACAGATTATCCGACACATATTTTGAAGTCATACAAAAAGAAATTTGCCAACTATTGATGGAACCATTCCTCAGTCAATAAATGACTTGGTGAAAAGATACTACGTTTACAGGGTACAATCTGTAATGCTCACATCTGTAATCCTAACTACTCTGTAGGCTAATATAGGAGAATTGAAAGTTAAAGGACACTCTGGGCTACAAAGTAAGTTCAAGGCAAGGCTGAACTATTTAGACTATCAAAAAATTTTAAAGGAGACAGAAAATGTATATTAGTGGTAGAAGACTGGCCTGGTATTCATTCCCCAGTAGTGTAAAAAGAAAAAAAATCAGCAGGGCACCGGTGGCTCACGCCTGTAATCCTAGCTACTCAGGAGGCTGAGATCTGAGGATCGCGGTTCAAAGCCAGCCCAGGCAGGAAAGACTGTGAGACTCCTATCTCCAATAAACCACTAGAAAACCGGAAGTGGCGCTGTAGCTCAAGTGGTAGAGCGCTCGCCTTGAGCTGAAGAGCTGAGGGACAGCGCCCAGGCCCAGAGTTCAAGCCCCATGACCGACAAAAAAAAAAGAAAAAAATCATAAGTATATAAACAGATAAGAGAAAAATTATGCTAATGTTTTAGACATACCTTTTGAACAGACAGAAGGAGATCTGTGTATGTAGTGGTGAGGGATGAGAGCCAAAATCCTAACAGTCAATGACACACATGTAAGAGACAGGATATAGGAATGGAGTTTATGAAAATTGAGATCGTTGCTAAGATAATGAATTTGTACACGTTTGATGGATTGAAATAACACAAATTGTATTACACTGCAGGAGGGTGAAAAAGATCTCATTACACTAATGCCAAGATACAGTGAGAACTACCTTCATTCTGGTGTTTATAGGAGGTAGAATATGTCATGTACATTTGCGAGGGACATACCTTCATTTCCTGGCTCTTGGTGTCTGACATTGTCAAAGGCAGTAAGTGTTTTTCTCTCGATGCTCCCTTCAGGTACTAACACTTCTAACATCCTGTGCCACATCGAAATTACCATTGCAATTACACTGGGCAGGATAATTCAGAATAAATTTGTAGCAAACTGATTAACAAACAAATAGCAAACTTAGTTACCTCCTTAACATCAATTACCTTTTGGCAGATATAGTAATGTATTCAGGTGTTGCAGAGAATGGAATATGGCTATGTTTGGGGAGGTCATTAATCTACCAAACAAGAAAGACGTATTTGCATGATATTTAAAATGCATTATACAAAGCACATTGCTCCACTGGTCCCCTATAACAAATAGGGAAAGGAGAGGTTCAAGATTGGAGGGAGGATGTAGGTAAGAATAAAAGCAGAGGACTCAAAACTAGCCATGTTCCTGTGTTGAGGAAATGGATTCTTCCCCTAAAAAAGACAGGTGGTTACAATTGAGACACACACTGGTTAAATGCTTGCCACAGTTCCACACTGCCAAATATGATGAAGGGTTTGGACCCCACTGACAAGACAAGCTTTGACAGAAAACACTAGTCAGGAAGCCAGAACAAGCCTGACACTTGACTGTGAGTGAAAAGATGCCAGGCTACAGGACCCCCTGTGTCTGGTGAGAGAGAAAGGCCTTCTTTCTTGAGCAATTGTGGGGTCAGCTTAATGACCAATGGAGTTCTCTGGTGGAAAGGCCTAAACCAGCGGCTGTTTTCCTAGGGCTAGAGGTATAGTAGGCCAGCCTTCCTTTGGGAGAGGAGCAGTGATGAGGCCTGTGATGGGAGCCCTCACCTCTGTTCCCTTAAAGGCAGAAATGCCTTGCTTTGCTTGATGGCTGTACGAAGCAAGCAAAGCAAAACATGGCAGAGCCTCCTAGAGGCCCCTTGTCCACACTGCTTGTTGCTATGTCTTGATGTCACATGTTTCCTCCCCATCTGTCTGCAGTCCAGACCCCCTTTTCCCCCCTCCGACAGGAAGGAGGAGGGACAGGGAGACTGGCGAGGGGAGGGGGGAGAAGGGGAGAGGCACTGCGCAGTCTGGGGTGCAAAGCACCAAGAGGCGGCTTTAGTATCCATCCGCTGCTCCCTCCAGCGCAGCGATTCCCGACCTCGGATATTGCTTCCCCAGCCGCCACAGCCCCTAGCTCTCAGCGAGCACAGCACCGGGAAGCCTAGCAGAGGCAGGGAAGTGGTGGAAGTCGCCACGTCAGGGTGTGCAGGGTGCAGGGAGGCAGGGCGAGTGGCGGGAGCCCGCCCCTGAGAGTGGGGCTGGTGCAGGCCCCGCCCACCCCGGGTCGGAACTATGGTGGGCCTGGGAGGGGGCGTCCAGCACTGACGCGGCCGTATCCCTCCGCCCCCCTTCCCGAAACCCTCGGAGCTAGCGGTTCTTGCCGCATCCTGCGCAGCCCCTGCCGGCCTTGCTGCAGAGGCTTGGGGACTGGCCGCCTCTTTGCGCTTGGGCTCCTCGGGAAAGCAGTGGGAGTCCCACAGAACAGCTGCTGAGAGAAGAGAGGAAGGCGCCTGAGTGGAGGGGGAGCGCGGGAGTGGAGGGGGGCCTGACTCCCTGGGCCCTGAGCCCGCGAAGGCAAGTGAGGGTGTGCAGAGGGAACGGGGTGGGTCTCCCCTTGTTGACAGGCTGACAGCTTCTTCCCCAGACCTTGACAGTTGGACGCTGAGGAGGCAAGCTGCCCAGAGGATCCTCCAGAGAGGTGTGCAGAGTCCGTAATCCCCGGGGACCAGAAGACGGTGACTCGCGGGGGTCTGGCGGGCCCGGGGCTGAGTGGGAGGCCACAGCATTTCCAGGATGGTCTGAAGGCCAGTCAGCTGACCTCCTCCCAGCCAACTTCCAAAGCTCCCGCTTCTCACCCCTGGACGTTGGTTATGCCTTGGGAAGGCTGTGCTTTGGTGGGAGGGGGTGTGTGAGGGAGAAATGTCAGAGGGAGATGGGGTCTTGGGGTGTCCTGGGGGGTCGCGGGGTGTGTGTGTGTGCAGGCTTCTGAGCTTGGGTCCAGCCCAACTGGTGGGAGGAGGATGCCCTTCCCCACTCTGGCCTTGGTTCAGAAAAGGAGCCTGTTGGGGTCTGGTTCCTTGGGTGCTGTCCATTCCTACAGGCTTAGTTTTGGTGTCAAAGTCTTCTGCGTTGTAGGTCTGACATATTCTGCGAGGGCATCTGTCAAGGAGAGGCTTAAGAAAAAGGAGGAGCAGAAAACAGTCTGGGATTCTGGAGGTGCGTGGGGATGGAGGGTGGGCATCGGGGCTAGCCTGAAACCTGCCAGGGATGGGTGACTCTAATCTGAGCAGGTGGGCATCCAGTAGTACCTCCTATCTAATCTTCCCCCTTACCGCCTTCTACATACTTCCCTACCTTTATCCCCTACCATTCCAAGTTGGGGGTCTGGGAATATGGGATTTGGGAGGTGGTGATGGCAGTCGTCAATACCAGGATCACTTCAGAACCTGTTTTCTAGAATATGTGGTGCCCTTCCCCCATTTTCTGCTGCGCAGAGGAAGGGGATGTGGCGCACCTAGTGGTGAATCCTCAGAACTGGACAAGGCATTGATGGCAGGTGCATGATGTCACGAGTCACTCTTGTTCTCTTACCTCTGCAGCCCTGCAGCAGGGGCCAAAGAAAACAGGCTCATTCCACAAACAGAATCTGAAATGTTTAATGACAGATCAGATGGCAACTCCTATCCTTGGCCCGTGTTGCTCTGTCTACTGGGCTCAGCTGCTACCATCCTTTCCTCATTGCATCACCTTTTTAATCTGTTTGTCTATAGGCCTGCTTTAGGGGCTGGTCAGTTCTGCAAGAAAAGAACAGACCAGGAGACTGGCTCAAATATCTGGAGACTGGTGAGGAAGGGGACTGTGTAGGGCAAGCTACTGAAGATCAACAGGCAAGTGGCTGTGATTCCTGTGCTTGCAAGATTACTTCTACTTGTACAGTCTGCTAAAATTGCTTGTTCCTGTAGCATTTCTTGTCTGTTTTCTGCCAGAGGTTTTGTGAATAATGAGGAATTCTGGGTTCAACTGTGAACAGTAAAAGCTGAGAGCTTAAACTATGGTGTGGGAAACTGTAGACAGACTGAATCCTTCAACTGAGAGATGGAAGCCAGGCTCTGTGCCAATATACTAGACACTGAGACTTCATTTTATCCTGTGTGTTTGTCCACAGGACCCCTTGCAGTCTGCTGTGCGGATTATCACCACTTGAACACAGAAAGTTGGGCAAGTTGCATCACAACAGTGAAGGTTGGTATGGGAATGAATTCACTTTTGGGTCTGTGTAGTAGAGACCAAACACTATTAGTGGGTGTCTTGGAGTGATTAGGGTCCTGTTTTATGCTCACATGGCTCTCAATTTGAAATAGTTTTTTTTCACCATTCCCAGTACTGCTTCTTACCATCTCCATACATGTTGTCTAGCAGGCTGGAGGAACAGAAACACTTTCTGATACCTCGACAGCCCCTCCTGCTATTCAAAAGCAGTTTCCCTTTGTAAGTTTCTACAGGAAGTCTCAGAATTTGATGAGCCTGAATTCCTGGTTTCATTCTCTCTCCCTAGATCCACCTATAGTTACAGCTCTGGTGGTGCTGGAGTTGCTTCTGATTACCACCCTCAAGTGGTCTACCCCTACCCAGGAAGCACCTGTCTTCTCCCAGCCTGGTTGTGCCTCCTCTGCACTATATCTATATTGCTCATTCAGACTGTGATTTGGTAGGATCTTATTTGTTGTGAGATTGGTGATTTACTCTGATTGCTTATTTCCTACTTTAATTGCTGACTCATTGAAAGACCAGAGTGTAAAGATACAATTCTCTTAAAAATCTGTGGTTAGGCTCTTGTGCAGGGTTGTATAACTGGATTTTTCTCTAGCTTGTACCATGACCAGAGCAGAGACTGAACTTACTGCCCAGGTTGAGCCTTCAAAGAAGGATGGAGAAGTTGTGAATGTGGCTGAAATAGAAAATGAAGTCCCTCTTGTAGTTAGACCTAAGGTTAGGACCCAGACCCACGTAATGACTGGAGCAAGGCCCAAAACTAAGACCAAGTTTATGCCTGGAGCAAGGTCTAAAACTGAGTCTGGTACAAGAGATGGGACACGTAGTAAGAATAAATCAAAGGCAATTCCTAGGTCAAGATATAAGAATGGTTCCCAAGCTTGGGCACAGAATAAGTGTGGGGCAGAGTCAATATCTAAGAGAGGGGAAGAATCTCATACCAACTCCATAGCCTCTCCACTGGTCAATACTGATTCTGAGTTAATTGGTAACACTGGGTGTCTGCCTATAGATGGAGAAGTGGTTAATGTGAACACTGAGAGATTTTCTAGAAAGAAAGTTCATCCCCAAATGGGATTCCAGCCTTCATTTGGGTCTGAAGAGATCACTAATATTGGGTCCTGGTGTTGCCCCAGGTCTACATCCAAAGAAGAGGCCTTTCAGAATCCTGATTTCAAATGGGTAGATAAATCCTCTGTGAATTCCTGGTTCTGTAGTGAAGATGAAGTCAGTCCAACATTTCGTCCCAGGAACAGGATAAAGGCCAGTACCAGGTCCAGGTACATGGCCAAACAAGAGGCAAATAACATGTATAGGCACAAATGCAAACAAGAGCTCTATTTCGTGTCTAGCTCTGGTTCTGAGGATGAGTCTGTTAAGACATCCTGGTTCTGGGCCAAGGATAAGACCAATACTTGGTCCATGACCATGGAAGAATCCAATAAAATGTCCCGCTTTAGTTCTAAGAAAGAAGTGCCTGTTGATTCTAGTTCTGGTTCTGAATATGAAAATAATATGAAGTCCAGGTTCAGAGCTGGAGAAGAGGGGAAATCTAGTTCTAAACCCAGAACCAGAAAAGAGGCAAATACCAGGACCCGGCACAGGGCCAGGCGGGAAACCGGCAATGATGTAATGCCTGGGTCTATAGATGTAATCAAAGAAGAGTCTTGGTTATGGCCAGGAGAAAAGGCTAATATATTTTTAAAGCCCAAGACCAAGAAAGAAACCAGGGCCAGAACAGTGGCAAAGGAAGAAGCCAGAGCCAGAGCCAGAGTCAGGCAAGAAGCCATGTCAGAAGAGGAGGTCCTTATTGGGACCTGGTTCTGGGCTACAGAGGAGGCCAGGATGGAGGATGTGGCCATAATCAAATCCAGTCCACATCTAGAAGATGAGCCTATTGTTGGGAATTGGTTCTGGACTGAAGAGGCTAATATGGGGACTGGGCCCAGCAGTAAACTCAGACCGAGGGCTGAGGAAAAGCCTGTTGTTGATTCCTGTTTAGAGACTGAGGAGAATGTCAGTATGGAAATTGGAACTGAGACTGCCTCTGACTCAATGCTAGCAGCTAATGATGAAGAAGTCTTTGTTGGTTCTTGGTTCTGGGCTGGTGAAGAAGTCAACCAAGAGGCTGACGAAGAGTCCATTTTTGGGTCTTGGTTCTGGGGCATTGATGAGGCCAGTGGGGAATCTTCTGTTGGAGTCAGCTATGAGTCCATTCTGAGGTCTGAAGAACAAGATATTATTGACCCCTGGTTCTGGGATACAAAAGTCAGTATAGACACTGGGGTTGAAGAAATGTCTAAGCCAGAACCTGAAGAAAAAGTATTTGTGTCTTGGCTTTGGTCTGAAAACCAAAATCATATTGATTCAGGGGCTGAAGCTAATTGTGACATTATAACAAGGGATAATGATGAGGAGCCCACAATTGGGCCCTGGTTCTGGGCCAAAATAGATGCTTGTGCAGAAGCTGAAGTTAATAGTAAGTCTATGTTGGAGAATGAAAAGGAGGACATTGTATCATCCTGGCTTGAGGCTGGAGAACAGGCCAGGATGAAATATGGCCCTGGTCCCAGATTCAAACGCATGGCAGAGGCTGAGGATACTGATAACAGTTCTTGCTTCTGGGCAGAAGAAGGGTCCTATATGTATCCTACTGATAGAGAAAACTGTGAGTCTAGACCAGAGGAGGAAGAGAACAACAGGCTGTGGTCAAAAAAGTATGCAGGGCCAGAGGCTGATGTAGGGTCCTTGTTATGGGCTTCACAAGAGGGCAATATAGATAATGAAACTGGAGAAGTCAAGCTACAAACTGAAGAGGAAAACACAATTACCCCCTGGATCCGGAAAGAAGAGGAAGCCATGATAGAGACAACTGACAGAGAGTCAAGGCCTGAAGCTGAGGAAGACTTAATCGGTTCTTGGTTCTGGGCTGGGGAAGAGGACAGGCTTGAGGTGCCAACTGATGTTAGAGAAGAGAACAGGCTGTCAGGTGAGGAAGAAGTTACTGTTGGGTCCTGGTTCTGGGCCAATGAAGAGTCCATTAGAGATTCTGAATCCTGCAGCAAAAACAGTTCTAAAGCTGATGAGGAGGAAGTCATTATCGGGTCCTGGTTCTGGGAAGAAGAGTCCAGTCTGGAGGCAGTGACAGGGGACAGCTTTCAGTCCAAGCCTGACCCTGAGGAGGAGGAAGTCATTGTTGGGTCCTGGTTCTGGTCTAAAGAGGACAGTGTAGACACTGGTTCTCTAGCAGTAGAAGAAACCATGCCAAAGACTGAAGAGGAGGCTATTTTTGGGTCCTGGTTCTGGGCTGAAAAAGAAGACAGTATAGAAGCAGGGATATATTGTGAATTCAAGCCAGAGGACAACAGAGAGATGATTATTGAGTCCTGGTTCTGGTCTGGAGACAAGGCTATTGAAGAAACTGGAACTGTGCCCACCTGTGAATACAGGCCAGAAAATGAGGAGATAGCAGTTGTTGAGTTTGGGTCTGGCTCTCAAGATGAGGTGAATATCAACACTGGTGATGGAGCCAATTGTGAATCCACAACAGTACCTGATGTAGATGAGGCCATATTTGGGTCCTGGTTCTGGGCAGGAGATGAGGCTCATTTTGAAACAAATCCTAGCTCAGTGTTCAAGGCCATCGGCAAGTCTAACTGTTCGTTTAATCAGGAGCCTGATCCTTCACACAGACCCCAGACCTGGGATGAGGTTACTGTTCAATTCAAGTCTGGTCCATGGGGATGGGTTGGCTTCCCATCAATAAGCCCTCTTAAATTTCCAAAAGAAGCAGCATTTTTGTTCTGTGAAATGTTTGGGGGGAAGTCCAAGTATGTAGAACTTAGCCCAGAAGGGCAAGAGGAGGAATCTTTGCAGCAGTCTGAACAGGAGTTCCCATTTCAGTACGATCCCTCCTACCGGTCAGTCCAGGGAATTCGAGAACATCTTAAAGCCAGAGAGAGTACAGAGCCTGAAAATTGGTCCTGTAGCTGCATACAGTGCCATCTTAGAATTGACTCTGAAGAGTTTGAAGAACTCCTCTTACTAATGGACAGAGTTCGAGATCCTTTTATTCATGAAATATGTAAAATTGCAATGGGTATGAGAAGTGCTTCTCCATTTACCCGAGATTTCCTTCGGGATTCTGGTGTTGTCTCACTCATTGAAACCTTGCTGAATTATCCATCCTCTCGAGTTAGGACAGCGTTTTTGGAAAACATGATTCACATGGCACCAACTTACCCAAATCTAAACATTATTCAGACATATGTGTGTCAGGTTTGTGAAGAAACCCTTGCTTATAGTTTGGATTCTCCTGAGCAGTTGTCTGGATTAATGATGATTAGACATCTCACCACTACAACTGATTACCATACACTTGTTGTCAATTATATGTCTGGATTTCTGTTTTTGCTAACTGTAGGAAACACCAAAACAAGGTTTCATATTCTCAAAATGCTACTGAATTTGTCCAAAAATCTTACCATGACAAAAGAATTACTCAGTACTGAATCAGTATCAGGATTTATAGAGCTCTTTAACAGGGAAGAGACAAATGAAAATATTCAAATTGTTCTTGCTATATTTGAGAATATTGGTAACAATATAAAAAAAGAAACAGAGTTCACTGATGATGATGATGATGATGATTTCTGTCTGGAGACACTTACTTCTACATTCCATGAAGTTGAGACATTTGCTAAGAAACTGCAAAGCAAAATTAACAGTCAAAATCACCCTGTAGCAGACCAAGAGAATTAATACGATTAACTCTTGATTGTCCTTATAAAGTTCCTGTGTTAAGATCCTTGAGTAATGCTTTGTGTTTTTTCACACTTGATGGTGTTGCAACGTACATCTTTGATGCTGATACTATCTTTCCTCAATTCTGTGTGTAAGCTGGAACATGTTTTTGATGCCTAATGAACATTACAAATGAAATCACATTTTTGGTACTCGTTCAGATTGTGAAATTTAGTATTTGAGGTCATTGTGAACTGAACCATCATAAATAAGCTGCCCTTTTCATTGTTGTTCTGATGTGAGCTTACCTATTTGAGTCTTGTTTGTGTTTCAATAAAGTTCTATGCTAAAGTTAACAGAAATTACCCTTGTCCTTGAACTTTAAAATACAGATACAAAGATGACACACATATATGCAATATTAATGTATGATTAATAAGCTCAATACAAAAGTATTTTTCTCAGTTTTAATCTTTTTTTTTGTCAGTCGTGGGGCCTTAACTCTGGACCTTGGAACTGTCCCTCAGCTCTTCAGCTCAAGGCTAGTGCTCTGCCACTTGAGCCACAGTGCCACTTCCAGCTTTTTCTGATTATGTGGTACTGAAGAATCGAACCCAGGGCCTCCTGCATGCAAGAGAAGCACACTACCACTGAGCCACCTTCCCAGCCCCTCAGTTTTAATCTTAAAAATTACAATGCCTGCATCTCAGGGTATATTTCACAGATAAAGAAACAATTTAAGTTGCACCCTGAGTGTAGAAAAACATGGAGTTAGGAAAACTCCAATAGATGTGATGTGTCTATTTGCCTAGATAGGAGAGGGCAACATACACTGAGGGATAAAGGGTGAGGTAAGGTTTGTAATGCTGAGAAGCTGAATCCGGATGCTCAGAGTAGTTGTTTCTTCAGTACTATCAAAAGCATAAAAGAATAAGCTAAGAAGCCGGGCGCTGGTGGCTCACGCCTGTAATCCTAGCTACTCAGGAGGCTGAGATCTGAGGATCGCAGTTCAAAGCCAGCCCGGGCAGGAGAGACCGTGAGACTCCTATCTCCAATAAACCACCAGAAAACCGGAAGTGGCGCTGTAGCTGAAGTGGTAGAGCGCTTGCCTTGAGCTGAAGAGCTGAGGGACAGCGCCCAGGCCCAGAGTTCAGGCCCCATGACTGGACCCCCCCCCCAAAAAAAATGTAAGTAGGATGCAGTAAGGCAAATGTATATTATTTGATCGTGGAAAATTCCATAATGATACAAAATATGTAAAAAGAAGAAAGATATAAGATACTGCAACTATAGAACTTGTTTGCCAAAAATATTACAAAATTATCTAGAGAAGTAATATAATGTCAAATTTGTCAAACATACTGAGTTGATTCCATGCTATTTCTTTAAACATTTTTGAAGTGTGTAATATGGTCAGACAGGAGCAAAAGAGAAGGATAAGGTTGGTTTTGAAAGTGGGTCCAAAAATTAGGAAATATTTGAACCAGAATCTGTTTGTTTTGAACCTGTGTATGAATGCCTTTTTCACCTGATTGGAATATATGAAAGTAATACAGAGTGGCAATTTAGCTTCCCTTTACAAAATACAAATGTTAAAGGGATATTCTTCCTGGTAGAAACATACCAATATTTGTCAAGATAGATTGTGTGTGTGTGTGTGTGTATTTTCACATATATCCCCCCAAACTATCCAAAATACTAAAAATCAATTCATATCCAAATTCCTCAGGACCTGTTATGCACTGACCAGATACTCCAAGAAGGAAGGGCCAGGCCTAGGGCTAGAGGCTTTGGCTCCTAAGCCAGCCTTAATTTCAGCACTCTGTCTTCACCAGGCTCAGAAATGTCAGGTTCTCCATCTTCACCAGAGTCAGAACGTGAAGCAACTCAAACCCAGTGGCAGAAGATTCTGTCATTGAAGCTGCAGAGCTGTGGCAGACAAGCTGACTGCAGGGTCATGTGGGCCAATGGTGGGTCATGTGACCAGACTCTGACTTGGACAGGCAGAAAGGTACATTTACACACATGGGAAAGGGTCAAGAAAGACATATACTTCAAGAATGAGAGTGAGGTGGCCTAAAGTGGCTAGATGTTAAGGTGAGAGAGTGAGTGTTTCTGCATACTGCATTTGCTTGAGGACCAATTTTCCAGGTGATTAGCATCACCACGTTAATTTGTAGAGGAAACAATCCCTCAGCCAAACATGAGGATGTTAGGCAGGTCTGTCTTTTGTCCAGGGGTTCACGAAGCTGAGAATCATCCTGTGGGCAGCATTCATGCAGAGAAGTAGCCATTGCTGTTGGAGGAGGTGGGTTCCAGGAAAGGGTGTCCATGGGAGATGGTGGCTGAGACTGGATGCCAGGGCTTGAAATGTCTTGGGCCCTCATGTTTCCTCCTGCCTTGCGATAAGCCTCCCCTGGTCTCTAGGCTTCCACCTAGTGCTGTGAGACTATTTCCCTGTATATGTGTGTTTGCGTGTGTGTGCGTGTGTGTGTGTGTGTGTGTGTGTTGGGGGGGCGAGTAAGCATATGGAATGAATTGACTTCAAGGAGGAAAACAGTAAAAATAAGTTCTTTTGGTTTCTTTGTTTCTAGGAAGTTCTTTGTTTCATCTAGGTTACTTCATTTGTGTTGTAATACTTGTCCATAATATTTCTTTACACAGCTTTGTATCTCTATAAAGTCACTGCTAATACTGTCAAATTTTATTTAAATTTTAAAACTACCTTCACGTTACATAGATTTCTCCTGAATATGTATTTTAGGGAACATTATATTGGTTTTGGTTCTAATTTGGTGCTGTAGCTATAGTTTATAGGTTTTTCAGCTTTGAGTGATAGCTTTGGGTATGGTGTATGTGAATGCAGAGTTGGAATGTCTTTTGTTCCTGGACACCATGTGTAAAAAAGGATATTTTAGTAGCCCAGGTGAGTGTGATATTCATATCATGGCTGTGGTGTGCCCATTCTGTGGTCACTCCAGCAATGAGAGTTGTGGAACTGGAAATTCAGAGTAAAATCCTTTTCCTTAGCAGCAGTTGCAGCATGAGGCATGATGTATGCATGTTTAGGTTGATTGGAGCCATGAGCTGTAAGAAGAACAGGAATGATGACACAAAATTGGGTCTAGTTGTAGCTCAAGCCACCTGCTGGTAGAGTGAGTTTAGCATGGAATATATGTCCTCTATTTCATTGGCAGCACAAAGGTGAATAGATAGCACACTGGCCAAATGGCCAGCCCCCAATATTATTATCCTGAAGCAACTGTGGGCTCTTGAGATCGGAAATAAGCCAATGCAAATCCTTCACCTGAAGCAAAGCTCTGGGGGGCAAACCTTAGCAGTCTCTCTTAACTCAGCTACATGCCTGTGATAGCTGTGTGTTTCTCCTGTAGCTAGAGTTGCCAGGCCTCCATGGTGATAAGCACAAGCCTGTTATCCCTTTCTCTGTGATAGCATGTCTCTGGCTGGAGTACTCCTGTCACAGTTGTCAGTCTGGCTTTACATCACTCACTATGCTGCCATCCCAGGCTTCTAGGTCTTATAGGGTTCCCCTCTCTTCCTTGCTGGTTTCTCTTGCCACTCACCTTGAAATATAGGTAAATATTTTTGTTTGAGTTCTCTCTCTCTCTCTCTCTCTCTCTCTCTCTCTCTCTCTCTCTATGAAGTGTAGAAGGTGCTATAAGGCTTATTAATTTGTCCATCTTGGTAATTTGTATTTTTTGTTTTAAATATAGATAGTTATCTGCAGACATGAATGAACCTCTGAACTATGATTTTGCTGCATCTCATAAATTTTGGTATGTTGTGTTTTCTTTTTCATTTGTCCCTATTTTTCTCATTTCACTTGTGATATATTTTAAGCTATTAGCTCCATAGGAATATGTTTCTTAATTTCCATATTTTGTGTGCAATTTCTAGTTTTTCTTTAATTACTGGTTTCTAATTTTGTGCCATTATGGTTAGAAGAAATATACTATATGATGTCTGTCAAATCTGTTTAATTTTTTTTAAGTGCTAGGCTACAAAAGTCTATCCTGGAGAAGGTTTAGGGAGGATTGAGGTTCAAGACCAGCCCAGGCAAAAACTTTGCCAGACTACATTTCAACTCATTAAAAAGCTGAGCCCAGTGATGTGTGCCTATCATCCTAGTCATATGAAAAATCAAGGTATTTGCCTGCTGAGTAAAAAGTGACAACTTGTTTGAAAAACAACCAAAGCTAAAAAGGCTGAGGATATGGCTCATGTGGATCATCTGCCTAGTAATTGCATAGGCCCTAAATTCCAGTATTAATATTTGCTCCCCCAAAGGGGAGGAATTAATTTATTTCTCATTAAACAAAAATGAGTTTATTTTCACTATTTATGTCCTATAAGAAATGCTAAAGGAAGTCATCAGATTGAAATAAAAATGGAATTAGAGTGACTTAAAACTGGGTGGAAGGGGCTGGGAAGGTGGCTGAGTGGTAGAGTGCTTGCCTTGCATGTATGAGGCCTTCAGTTCGATTCCTCAGCACCACATAAGCAGAAAAAGCGAGAAGTGGCGCTGTGGCTCAAGTGGTAGAGTGCTAGCCTTGAGCTGAAGAGCTAATGGACAGCGTCCAGGCCCAGAGTTCAGGCCCCAAGACCGACACACACACACAAAACAAAACAAAACAAAACAAAAAAACAACAACAAAACTATGGGAAAATTAGAGAAAATATTGGGTAATGACAAAACATTTATTGTTATTTTATATCGTAACTACATTTTCTTTTTACATAGCTTAAAGCTAAAGCATATTAAAAAGCAATCATTAATCTGTGCATTGGAGTATACAATATATATAAAGGTATATCTATGGAAACAATAACAAGAGAAATAGAGCTAACAAAGAAATTATATCTTAACAACAAAGGGCTATCAGCAAGATGGCACACAAGAAATTTAAAGCCCTCCTTCATTCACAAAGATTATGAACTAACAACAATACTGCTGTTAAATCCTTGAGAAGGGTTGAAAAGATAGAGCACCCAGGCTAATGTAAAACCAAGAAAGGACTACAGCAAAAGGAATGTGCAGATTCATGGGGTTTTTCGTGCTCATCTGTTGCTTTCTTCCTGTAGAACATACCATGGAGCAACTACAATAACAGGCTCTATTCAGGATGGAAAGAAAATAGTGGACATGTATATGGACTGTGTGGTCTGGGGGCTGCTAGAGGAACTAGCTTCTCTTTTACCTGACTTGAAGTACTAAATAGACAGGAAGCAAATTTTGGAAGCTTCAGAAAACAAAGGCAAGTACCACTGCACATACCAGCTACAATTCTTTTTTTTCAAATTTTTTATTGTGATTAAGTGGTTACATAATTTCCCA